AAATCATTTGCAAAGCATGCTATAAGTATATTATCTTTTTAGCAAAAAATAATACAAAAGATAAATGCAAATATAAAATAAAAGAAGATTTTGTGAGCTAGATGTTTTTGCTAATTTACAATAATTAACGACGAATTTTTCGACCTTTTATTATTGTATAATAACAGATCATTCTTACTGCTACAAGATTAAAATATATAATATCGTTAAAATAATTAATATCATCAAATTTATAAAATATAGATCAAAGACGCGCGCAATTATTATAACTTTTCAAAAGTTATTCAATAATTTAAAAATGCTTGCTCTCTAATCTACGTTTTTATTAAGTTCGATGATAATTATATATTTTGTAACACTGAAAATAATTTGTTATTAAAAAGGTCGAAACGTTGTTGGTACACGATGTAACAGCGATAATAATTATTATAAATAGTTATTGTAAATTAAATAATAATAAAAATATATATCTCGGCTTACAAGCGCTCTTTTTCTTTATATTAGAATTTTATTGATATAAGCCTCGTCATTTTTTACATTAAAACAAGAGATAATAATTTTATAATAATTTATAAATCGCATTTGTAAAACGTATTAAGATACGATTTTCTCAGCAGAGTTTTGCAATACGCAATGATGCAATTGTTTAAATATTCATAATTTAATATAGATTGAATAAGCACGATAGTGTGAAGAGAGTGAGAAAAGTCAAAAAGATTTTAATTGCAATTGAAATGCATAATTAATTAAAATTCCAGATATTGACAAAGCATAAAATATTTCGGTTCGCTTTGGACCATTTCCAATATTTTAAAAAGAAAGAAAGAAAAAAGATCAATATCTTTTTTGGGCCGGGAGAATCCAAAATGGATCGAAAATAGTTTTCGACAATCTTCTTCTCTTTTGTAAATTAATAGAGAATTAAAAACATTCAGACGCAAATAGAAATACTCGATTCTAGTTATTAATAGCAAATGAGTAAAAAACCAGAAATATATAAAAAGTTAAAAGCACAGAGGGTTGAACGACATCCACGAGACGGCCCTGTTTCACGGCGTGTACTCGATCGCAGGGCGAGAATCCGAGGACTGCGACTGCGAACGAGCGGCGCGGCAGGGCCGTGATCGGTCACTGTTATAAACGGGGTCGTCGGTGCCCGGGAACAGTCAGTTGCACGTCAGACCGAGCCGCGTGTGGATGTGCAGGTGAGAGGCAGAGCGAGTGAGCGGCGACGAAGGTGAGTCGCAGCGCGAGTGCGACCCGACAGCCGCCACCTCGCGATGCAACGATCCTCGCGTGCATGCCACTGTCGGCGGAAAACCGGGTTAAAAGAGGCGGGTGGCGGGCGGCGATGACCGGGGCGGGGGCTTGAAGTGATATTGTCTCAGGGCACGCGAATCGCGCTTGCTACTGTTAATATCGCGTATAAAGCACGAGGTAAAGTCCAAAATGATCATCGACGACGCGATTGTCAGGTGCAACGCGAATCTCTCTTTTGTACTTCGTACCTGCACATCCGAGGACACCATATCGAACGCCCCGTAACCGGGCCGGGTCAAGTAAAATGGGAATCTTTATAATAAGCAACGGAAATAGTCGCACCCTCGGAACTTAAAATCTATTTGAGATCAGCTGTTTGACTGATCGACTGCTATTTCACAGTTAACGGATGTAAATCGATTGATAGAGCGAAATAAATTTTCTCAGATATTAAAGAAAAGAAAATAGTCTTTATCAAAAGTGAATCTCAAGATTTATAAATCTTTTCATCAAATGTACTTGAATTTATCGTTATCATGTTTTTTTTGTGTTTAGATACAAGAAAAGACAATAATCTATTAAACATTTTGCATAATTTTTAAACTACGAAAAATCTTTTTTAATAAAAATAATTTGAAACTGATTTTATTAACTGATTTTATTAACTGATAAGTAAGTAGTAGTTGATGTTGAACATTCTGTTTTTAAAAAAATAGCATTTAATTGCAAAATAATTTATAAGTATAATATTAATTTAAAAGTTTATCATTCAGAAATTATTTTTATGACTTTTAACATTTTTTTTCGACAGAAATATCATTTTATAAAAATAAAATAGTTTGAGATGTCGCTAAATTTATATTTTTCTTTAGTTTTTTAGATTATAAACAACAAACAAAAAGAAGTTTATCTATTTAGAATTAAAAAAGGCTTTATAATCAAGATAATGTTTCTCTGGAAAGGAAATTTGATTTCCTCGAGAATGTGGTAACAAGGTCTGGGTAGATCGATGGCGAAATATCCTTGCGTGATATCAAAAGAGAAATAAAGCAAGTCCAAGCATTTAAAAGACATTACTACCGTAAAAGATATTACTACCGTAAAAATATCGAGACAGGCGCGAAGGAAACGCTCGAAGATGAAATCGCGATACAAGTAGTAATTTGGTCCTCAGGCAACCTTTTAGTTTTAAATGAAATGCGCGCTTTTTATGTACATGCATAAAAAATGTATATAATTTTATTCTTTTTTTTTAATAAACTTTTTACTTTCTTTAAGAAAACTTTATAATATATATAAACATAAACGTCGATAAAATTATAGCGGACTTGTATCGATCTGCCTTTGCACAATATGACAAACCGAGAAGCATAACATAACTGGGGACGAATTCATTATTCGTCACAAAAATGCCACTGTATCTCTTGAATTTCCACTTGGTCCGTCAAGTGATAATCCAAAGAAACGGTGTCGCGCAAAAGCGCTCAATAGCTGGAGTGTTCTCTTTTCTGAAAGAAAATTCAGTTTCCAATATTGTCACACTTGATCCTCGTACTTTACATTTAATTATTTCATTCATTTAATCTCGAAAAACTTCTACCAATTCATAACATTTTATTTAAAAAAAATCAACTTAATACTGATTGATTATAACACATTATTTTATTTCTAAAAAATTCAGAATGAACTTAAATTGAGAATAGAATGGAACCCCAGAAATAGATCTTGATGTAAAATACGAGGATTGACTTTTATTATTGTTCCTTCGTCAGAAAGGATGAAGGAAAATGATGATGGATTCGCCGGATTACTTTTTATGATTTTCAAAGGAAAATTCGCACCGTGTGAAATAATTGCTTATGTCGATACGTCGATTAATCACTGAAGGCACAAAGATTTAACTTTGTTATAAAAGAGATGGAAGACTCGATTAATATTTGTCACATCATTTCACATCAAGGCGTGAAATATTAAAAATGTATATTAGGCGCCGTATAATCTCGAACGTGCAGCGCGAAAATAGAAATGCTAATCGATACTTGTCGCTCTGGACGTGTCTGTGGAAGGTGAAATGTTCGGAATAAATGTAGGTGAACTGTGGCTAACACGGCAGCCATTTCTAATATACGGGATGTATCAAAAGCCGCACCCTTTCTCCTTCAATCTTCTATGGATTTTCGGACAATTTATAGTCACTATTTTCTTAAGAAAAATATATTTGAGGACAATTACAGATATACATCAATTAATTATATATTCAGTTATATTTCATTATTTGTGTTTGACACTTATAAAAAGTGGCAAAGACTCTAAGAATAAGTTAAAGCGAAATAAGAAAGAAAAATTAACAATAAAATCATTGCGGATGTCAGTGTGTAATGTTAACAAAATATTTAGTTCATTATTTGTAATGCATTACATACACAGCAATTTGAGTCCTTTTCAATTTAATATAATAATTTAAATGGCAAGAAAACATGGGTTAAGATATAAAATAATAATATTAAAACCTACATCAAAGGATGAAAAAAAGCATTAACAAGAAAACCAGATCAAAGTCATTTATCTCATGCAATATACTGCGAATAATAAATTAATTTTATGTGTATAATATTTTATTAATATTATACACCGACATCCGTTTTGGTTCTTATCGGCTTTTCTTTATATTATTATTATGTCCGTTATTATTGTTCAAGAAACTTTTAACTATATCAGATGTAGCATCTCTAATTCTGCATAAAATTAAGCCGAAAGCGAAATTATTTTTTATTTTACTTCTGTTTGAAGATATTTCAAAGGCGGCCGAAAACAGCGCAACGAAAGCGGAGTCCGCAGACGAGGGAAAAGAAAACGACGCAGACGAAGAAAAAGAGGCAGCAGCCACAAAAATACAAGCAGCTTTCCGTGGGCATCACGCTAGGAAAAGTCTAAGAGTGTCGGAAACAGCATCGAAGGAGACCGACGAAAAATCCTCCGAATCTACGGAACAACCTACGCAAGAACAGTTGCAGGAGGAATTCTCTACCGACGATCAGGGTGAGCGATTATATATTCTATGATGAGTTCGAAGCGAGAATCATTTTTGAAACAACTTCTATTTGATAGAGCTCTGTAACGCGGCGAAAAAGATACAAGCGACTTTCCGGGGCCACATGTCGAGGAAGGAACAAGCTGCAGCCAAGTCGGCGATGAATATGGTTGAGAGTGCAACTGCTAAGATAGAAGAAAAGGTAAGTTAATTGTCAATCTTAAATATGTATACATATAGACTTGTTATTTATTGATTACAGAGGGTTAGAAGCTTGCTGCTTTATCTAACATCTGCCTTCGGCCTTTCATAAAAATTTTAAACACGAGTTCTATTGACTCTTCAGAACGTCACTACAGAACTAATCTAATATTATATCTAATTGTCAGGAAAATATATTCGATCATTAATCATTTTTTATTATCAATATAAAATTAATTTTTGCTCCTGATTAAATCATTTAATGTAAAATCTGATTTAATAAAATTATTTGAGTTATAGATACATATAATATATATTTTATATATACTGAGAGAAAAAAAATGCAAGTACTATAATTTGTAGTCATTTTTTGGATTAACTATAAATTTATAATTGTTTTAATGCACATATAATGTCATGCACATTATAGCTGTTTCAATATTAAAATATGATTATTATCAGGAAATAAAAGTAACTCGTTACTTGTAATAAAGTTACACTTACAAGTTATTTTTTGGTAATATACAAGTTACATCTTTTTGATAACAGTAACGAATTTTACAGTTATTTTGGATATGGCTCGATTAGACACAAGTCACTTATAGCACTTGAGACTAGAAAGCCTCTAGGCACTCGTCCGCTATGATTGGTGGTCATCAATTTTAAAAAAAGTAACGGAAAAGAAACAAAAAGTAAAAATTTCTCAAGTAATGATAATTGTGACAAGTTATTTTTAAAAATTGGTAACTTGTTACTTTTAAAAAATAACTTTCCATTCTCTGATCATTACAACTATATGACATGTATAAGTTTTTCCTTATCATGCAAATTAGTTTTTTTTTACCATACTTCTTAGTAATTATTACTATGTAAATAGTTAGTGAATGTTAAGAAAATAATTATATTCACTATAGTATAATGACAATTTGCATTTATTATTAAATGATTATTTTTATTTACTATTCGTATCTTAATATTTTACTATATTAATAATAAATTAATACTAAATTAATAATTCAGATTATCATAATTCACTATACAATTTTTCCATATTTGAAAAAATTATATAATATAAGGTTATTATTATTACTATTAATTAATTATTATTATTACTAATAATAGCAGTAATAATCATAAAAATGGATCTTCTAACCATAATTTTTTAATCATACAATTATAGTCACAAATATATATATATATAGTCACTTTTCTCTCTCTGTGTGTACAGTAATTATAAATATATAAAATTCAGAAAATATATTTTCTCTCTCGATATTGAATTCAATAGTTTTTATAATTTTAACCATTTTTTATTAATTAATTCTTGCTTATAACAAAGAGTAATTTCCAAGCAAATTTTAAAAGTTATTGAAAATTATTGAATTATTGATATTAAGAATGATTAAAGAAACAGGATGAACGCAACATTATGATAAAGATGCCTTATTCTTTATGTAGTAACCCTATTTCCTAGATTAAAGCTCCCTGAATGTTACAAGAAAAGATTTTTTATTAATAGAGTTTTATTGATATAATAAAACATGAAATAATGAATTAATTATATAGTCATTTTCCAATAAATATATTTAAGAAATAATGCAAATTATTATCTCAGTAAATTTATTTTTCACAAATTATGTTGCTGGAAAGCAACATATGATCGCGTAGTTTTCACATTGCATTTTATATTAAAACAAAATTATATATTAAAACAAGAATAGTTAAGAAAGCTGTTGTAATCATGTTGCAAAGTAATTTTTTTTCTGAATCTGATATGCCGATATCGATTCAATCGATGAAGCGGTAATGACAGGTTTTGATATACAAGGTCGCCGTGATCGATCATTTCTGTGCCGAGATCCGTGAGAGAAAGCTATTGTTAGACTCTTTGACATTACGTTGATCTACGAATGCTCGGCGAATAATCGACAATTGCCTTCCAAGCTGAAGATGATCATCTGGGTACCGAAGCGCTACTAAAGCTCATCCCAGGACCAGTAGACCGGTATGGCCTACAATGTTTAAGTTACTTTCGTGTCGTATCGATTAATTATGTACGGACTAGTTGATGCACAGCGGAATTCCGTTCAGTCTCATTTAAGATAAGAAGGGTAACTTCGATAAATGCGAGAAACATCCTGTCTGCGAATAAGTTCCAGTTCGGGGAGCCGTATCCGAGGATGAAAAAAATTTAGGATGTCTTAAATTAACGAACAGCTATAACGTTTTACGTTTTACGTTTTTTTGTTCAAATTCTGCTGCAGATGCAAGACGCTGTTCAAGAATTAGAGGGGATCGACTTGGCCGATCCAGACTTGCATAAGGCAGCGACTAAGATTCAAGCAAGTTTCCGCGGTCACAAGGTTCGTCAGGAGGTCAACATCCATTCTACTGCCGACGACTCTAAAAAATAAGACGCTTACTCAAATGCAGGGATGCCGGGAGATAGAATATTACTTATTACAGTCAGTGCCATTCTTAACAGGTTTCAAACGCCATTCCCTATTTCTTGTACCTTATAATGTAGCATCCATAAATTAGTAAATTATGCGCGTAAAATATATACGAGGCATTCCAGACAAGCCGAACAACGGACAGCCGAACGAATTTGACTATTAGTTTACTTCGGGCCACTAGTTATTGTGAACAACGATACCGTTTATTTTACATTAATAATTAATCCAGCCTTTGCCCGGGACCAGTGAGATTTAAGCGCTTTCTACTTTGGCTAAAATGAGGATCTTTCAAACGAGATATTTACAGGCTGAGGCATATAAATGTGGGAACATTTAAATATTTCTATTATTTGTGGATATATAAAAAGTTTTCTGGAACAAAGTTGCATTGTGTAAAGAAGAACTATAATGGTAAATAAAACAAGATTGTTCCTTGAGCTGACTCCTATAAATCGATTTTAAGTATATTTCACACAATTCGCTACATGACCACATTCTTAAACTATCTTCATACTATCGATTTACACTTACATTTTTTATGAGTTATTACTGCCATACATGACAGAGGGATATACATATAGGCAGATTTTTCAAGACTTTTCAAAGGACTTTTCAACATGGTAACAATACTTTCTATGTAAAACACTAAAAAAAAAAAACGATGATATAGGGGAAAAAAAGAAAACAGATAGTCCCCTATATAATACTCAACATAAATTGTGATCTACAACAACAGAATAACAAACATGCAAAATCCTCATATCTGGTAGGTATGTTAAGTGGAACGCGACGAACGCGATAGAATATAACTTTAACATCCTGCGCATGATAAACGGAGCATACATTAAGATGTACCAATATCAATATATGCATGTTAACTTTTATAAGTTCCTGTATCTGTGTAAAATAAACGGTATGGTTGTAGCGTTTCCAATTCTAAAATTAACGGTGAAAGTCTGTTTTTCGAATATTTTTTTATTATGATACACAAATATTTAAAGCACGATTTTATTTTGTATTCCTAATTTATTGTTGAAATGGAATGTGATAACTAAAAGTATATTTCTTGCACTTTTTACATTTTCCTACAATTTGTCTTTTTCTCTTTCACTTTCTTTCCCTTCTTATAAAAAGTTCATATATATATATATATATATAT